AATACAATATTAATTATATTTCAATAATGCAATATTATGCATTAATAATACAATATGTGTAATTTAATAATGCAATATTATTTCCATTTCTATTTTTGGAGGGGCCTGGAGGCTTAGTGTCACATCAGAGCACATCTATAGATGGCAGTGTGAGCCTAGAGAAGAGTCAGTAAAGACTGGCTTAATAAGGGATCACAGAAAGCCTTGGGACTGTCAAACAAAAAACCTCGCAGACATTTCGTAGACCATTACTGCTATAAAAGCACAGCAAGCCTACCCGAATGATGGTACCAATGCAAGTCATAAACATCGGTGATGTTCTTTCAACATTATTAGTAGTCAGAAGTGTACTAGATCATATTCATTTTTTGTGAGCGTTGAAGAACAACGGCTCAAAAAATAAGCAATATCCCCACCCAGAAAATAAAGGATTTTATTTATTTTATTTGTCACACCCACCTATTTTCCCAAAGATGTAGTGATCAAAAATTGGAGATTCGTGTCTTACAGGAGGAAAGTCGTTCTGAACAGTTTGGTTGGAAGGAAAGATTTGCCTTCCCAAAACAAGGTGCACGTCTTATTGGAGGGTATGTGGTATGCGAATAAGTACAGTATGTTGCAAAGTCCTGCCACTTTATTCATTAGTATTTATATTACAGTAGTATCCAAATCCTTAGGCTTTGTTGTTCCAGGTGTCATACAAGCTCTGAGGGAGACCCAGTCCCTGTTCTAAAGAGTTAATCTAAATACCCACACTTTGCAATCATTCATGCAGGTAGTGCCACTGAAGTCTCTGCGACATACAAAAGGAAAAGGCAGAAAGATAACATATTTTTACGTACATTTTCTATATTTTTTGTACAATATCACCTTTCACAAAAATAAAGCAGTATCTTTTTTTGTAGGGGAGAAGTGGCAGCTGTTATTGTCACTAAGGCTAATGGTAGAAGATTTGATCACTCCGTGTAAGAAAGCACAGGAATACAAAAACATTTAAACATTAAAAAGAAATACTTCATAAACATGTAAGTGAATCTTTTTGGGGGTGGGTTTTTTTTTTCCTTTCTGCCCAAATCCTAAATAGGCCCCAGAGAGTGGGGCTGTTGAGTAAGATGGTGCTGGTTTTACATAGATTACGTCTGCACTGCAGTCGGAGGCATGTCAGGCTCACGTAGGTGTACCTGAGCTAGCATACAACTGGCAAGCTTGGGTCCTTAGTGCTCACAGTGCAGTCAAGTGAAGCATGTCTGTAAGCGTGCAAACTGGAGCCCGGTACCAAGTGCTCTGTTGAACTCCCCTAGGGTCCAGCTTTTAAAAGTGTCACATCTTCCCTTGATTTACAAGAAGCAATGACTTCATTCCGAGTTTTGAAAACCAAACTATCAGGATCAAAAGCTGGGCTCCCAAAATGTGAAGCATCCACAATTAGAGAACCTGTTTGCAAATATGCTTCAGCCCAGCCACCACAGCAGGTCCTGGAAGAAAGATGTGCCAATGTAATGAAAGGTGTGTTTTAAAACCATCCTGTTTAAACAGGTGGAAGGGGCGACGAACTTATTTTGGTTTAAATCAGGTCATATGTGACTCAGTTTAAATTGGTTTATTTAAGCTAAACCAAAATAAGCCACACTATTATTGAAATGCAAGTGTCTGCAAGGGGATTTGAAGAGTCTGAACACCATCTGTAGACCCAAGAAGAGCTTAGTGCAGCACAGTAATGCTTCTTGGTAGACCCAAGAAGAGCTGCGGAACCAATATCAAGGACTGGACAGGGCTTTAACTGGCAGAGTGCACAAAGCTAGCCCAACACAGGATGGAGCGAAGGAGGGTTGTTACAGCATCCAAGGTGCTCCAGCGGTTGCAGCAGCCCTGGGACGGACTTGACTTGAACACCATTATAAATAAGTGACAACTTGAACGCCCAGCATAAAAAAGATTAAATTTATTAACACTCAAAAAAGTTCTTAGTAGAAAATAGCCTCAGTCCACAAGACCAGCTCGCATTATCTGCAGAGAGTTTTTCACTTGGACTACAAAAGGAACTTCCCATCATCCTAAAAGGCCAGAGCTTGAATCTGGGCTAGGCACATTCATATTTTGTCCACTTTGATTATGGGCTCAGCTGCTCTGGTGTGACTGATGACCAAAAAAAAATCCCTGGTCCCACAGCGCTGGAAAACGAAGTCCTCCCTCAACACACAGACAGACACAAATGGCTGGGGTATTCATCTCAGACTCCCAATAACTAAATCACCACTGAGCTGTGGCCTCTGGAAACTATCAGCCCAAGAAGAAAACTTTTCAACATGTTGATGAGCGTGTCAAATAGGGGAAGACTCTGGAAGCCACATTTTTATGCTATTGCTGTGCCAAGTCACTGCTGCTGGGCTATGGTGAATGAACAATTAAGGGCTCTTGCTACAGCTCCAAAGCTGTGCGTTCAAACCCCCATTCTGGATTTGCATTGCACCCCACTGTGGAGCCAGATGTAAAAGGATATGTGGTCATTTAAACTGGGAAGTCAAAGAGGGACAGATGTGATGATAGCTCTTGGCTTTAGACACAACTGTGTCATCATTACCCCACTGCCCAGATGAGATTAATGATTTGACCAGGCGGCTGATACACCAAAGAGCACTTTTCACCTACAAGTCTTTCTCCCATATAAATGACTTCTTATGACATGTCTGCAAATAAGTGCTCGGGATCCCATTTCACAGGTGGGGGAGCAAAGAGCTTACCAGTTCCCCACCCGGGTGCAGCTGAGACAGCACCTTCAACGCCTGGCTCCCTGGCCTGTGCTTATATCACTAGCCCACGCTGCTCTCGCCAAGCCTGCGATACGTGGATGCACCCGCTGGAGTCCCCTTTAAACACGGGAGTCGGACTCGTAAGACTTAGTCTGTAGGCAGTTTAGAAATGAAAAGGCAGTAGCAAAATCAGAGAGAGCCAGCGACGAAATAGGCTCCGAATCCCAGCTAAGGAAGAGGTCATTTATGAGCCAAATCAGCTTCTGTGCTGTCAGATGGCCTCGGGCCAGACTGAAAGTGCTTATTTGAGTGAATTCTGGGAGAGGTGTGATGGAAGCACTAGGGACACGAGTTGCCTCGGGACTTTAAAACAAAAAGACAGGTTTGATTTAGGACAATGATTAAAGAGAACAAGAGGATTAAAGGTGAGCGCTGGGATAAAGGAGTGTTAGTCTAGCTGCCGTGCGAGAGACATCGGCTCAGCCGCCAGGCCGGGGGAGAGATTAACGATGTCCAATCTGCAGAGCAAAAGATGTCAAAACGGGTGACCCATGGCTGGGAGACAAAGGGGTTCAAAGAACAGCCACCGGGGCGGATGAGGCTGAGTGGCACGTTCACAGCTCAAGAATTAATTGCATCTGAGAGAATTCATTGCATCCATTGCCAACTGAGGGATGAGCGAGCACACAGAGGGCAGGGCTGAGAATAGCAGAGGGAGCAAGGGAAAAAACAGAGAGCAGAGGAGGCAGAAAAGGGGGGAAAATGATAGCATGATTTCCATTTCATTAGCTCAGTGTATTTTTGGAGGGTGCGGGGCAGGCCTCAGTATATTGTAAGAAACAGCCCTTGCTCTGAAGGGTTTCTCATTTAAACAAAGGGTGGGAGTGTAAGGCCCGGGCTGGGGAATCTGGTGGGTTTTAGGCACAATTTTGGGCTCAAATCAGCAGCAGGAGAAAAGGTGGGGGAGGGTGAATGGTGGCCACGTGAATCCCCCTGGTTCCCAAGTTGCACCAATACAGCAACCCCAGCAGCCACAGGGACTAACCCTGCTGCTGGTGCTCCTCTCAAGTCGCCCGGCCCATGGGGCCAAATGACTTGGATACCCCTGATCCAAACCGGTAAAGCAGAAGAGGGCTGAACAGCTGGGGAAGTATCATTATTTTACAGAAACGGAGGTTCGGAGATTGAGGATGTGTCTACCCCGCTCTCAAGAGCACCATCAAGAAGCACGTGCCCTCCACCTATGACACACGTGCCAAAGTCAAAAAGGAGGCAGGGAGGCTACAGGGTGCCATCCTCTCCACTGCCACTCTTCATCCCCAGTGTGACTGAGAGCAGCAGGAAGGGACCCCCTCGGGGTGGCTTCATTG